GGGAAAGTACTGCCCGTAATTCAGTTTATCTTTCCCTGAATAATGGGGTTATGTACCTGTGACATTTGGTTCCTTGACAAAGCCCATATCCATCTTTCAGGTTATATCAGCTCCACATGCTGTCTATTTGGGCAACCTCACCCCTTTCCCCTTTCGGGGGTTTAATTTTGCAGCCCAGATCTTTGGTCAATAGATCAGCGGTACATGAAAGTACACTTAAGACTAAGTATGTAGGGAGAAAATATATATTGTTCTGGCATATTAGTTCTGAATCCTGGAGTGCAACTGGGGAATGGGATCAAGGCATTTCAAGGATTTGGAAGTTGCCATTATTATCTCTTTCTGTGCCCTTGCTTGTCTTCCCATAGCTTTAAGGTGTCAGAAAAGCAGTGATCTATTAGTGCAGCTCCAGGCACTGAAGGGTTTATGGACGATCCACATGTCTTTTAAGAAAAAATGCACATATAAAGGGAAAGTACTGCCCGTAATTCAGTTTATCTTTCCCTGAATAATGGGGTTATGTACCTGTGACATTTGGTTCCTTGACAAAGCCCATATCCATCTTTCAGGTTATATCAGCTCCACATGCTGTCTATTTGGGCAACCTCACCCCTTTCCCCTTTCGGGGGTTTAATTTTGCAGCCCAGATCTTTGGTCAATAGATCAGCGGTACATGAAAGTACACTTAAGACTAAGTATGTAGGGAGAAAATATATATTGTTCTGGCATATTAGTTCTGAATCCTGGAGTGCAACTGGGGAATGGGATCAAGGCATTTCAAGGATTTGGAAGTTGCCATTATTATCTCTTTCTGTGCCCTTGCTTGTCTTCCCATAGCTTTAAGGTGTCAGAAAAGCAGTGATCTATTAGTGCAGCTCCAGGCACTGAAGGGTTTATGGACGATCCACATGTCTTTTAAGAAAAAATGCACATATAAAGGGAAAGTACTGCCCGTAATTCAGTTTATCTTTCCCTGAATAATGGGGTTATGTACCTTTGTCCATTTGTAGAGAGCTTTTTGAAAGACATTGTAGTGGTCACTTTGCAGAATTCACAATCATTAGGTCTTTGGAATCATAATCTGGGCACAACGTGTCCCTGAGAAGAAAAAAATATAATCATAATGCTGCTTTCTTCACTTCACCCAAATGGGAATGGTATTCCCAGTTTAAAGAGTGGAGGATTTTGTTAGTATGTTTAAATGTTTATAAGCCTCTGTAAAATGGCATCTTGCACTTGTGCTTGCCAAGCAGCTGAGGATGTTTTGAAATGTTAAGTGTTCCGTAAGGGTAATAATAAGCTAAAAATCACATACAACATACTTTTGTAAAAATAATCTATGTAGATTTTTATTATTCTCATTTTGTTCCAGGTTGTCTACTGCAACCAGGAGTGTCAGAGGTTGAACTGGCCTACGCATAAGAAACAATGTGCTCGTCTCGCTGGTGAGTACTCCAGGATTGAGGGGCAAGCTGTTGGTAACATCCCATGCCCCAGTTGACTCAAATAAGTTGTTTTGAAGGTGGAGATTTTGGCTTAATGGTTAGAGTAAAGGGGGAAAAAAGATGGTGATCATACCAAAGTAGGTTTAAATGTCTTGTATGTTCTTCGAAGCGTAGATTTCTCATTTGTTGTTTTGCTTTTTAAAAAACATTGAAAATGTAAAATCCAATAATTATCCCTAACTTTATGAAAAGATACAGCAAAGCAGAAACCGGAGAAGATGGAGGCCTGTTGTAACAAGGAGTTGGCTTCCAACGGGTAAACATAGCCATGGTTAAAAGGGTTGCACCTCCAGCTGGTATACATTAAGTTTGTTATCTGACAACACACTGAGAGAGAAGCTAGAGGTACTGGGTTTTTTAGATTTTTTTCCCATAGACATGAAAATGTGGGTGGTTGGCAGGCGCTGTGGCGTGGTTTACTCCTTCTTTCCTATCATACATCTGTCGTCCTTATCTCTCCTCTTTTTTTGTCTTTGTTACTACCTTGTAACACCTCTAATCTTCGGCACTTATATGACCTAATCATGTTGCAAGTGCCATAAAACTCTTACTAAAACATAAAACAAGACTTGAAAATAAGTTTTAATTTTTCAACAGTTGTGATTGTAACATTGTGTTTGGTCAGATGTCAAGCAGTGGGAATCTGACTCGGCTTCTTTTTGTCTATGAAATGCAAAGGGACAAACCACTGCACTGGCCGTATGCCCTGCTCTCTCCTCCCCCCCCCCCCCCCCCCCACCCGATTATGAAGAAAAAAAATCACTGTTCTCATCTTGAGCCTACCATTCTCCTCCTCAGAGCAATACAAGATTCAGGAAGAACAAAAGAAGAAAGAGGAAGAACAGAAACGGTTGGAAGAGGAGAAACTCAAAGAACAGGAGGCGGAAGAATCACAGAAAGCTGCCTCAGAGGGAGATAATCAGGGTGGGGGGGATGGGGTGGAGGAGGCAAAGACATCAGAGGCTGAGGTCACTCCAGAGAAACAGGAACAGTTAGATCCATCCCAACATGAGGCTTGTGCCAACGAGAGTTGATTGTGGCTTAACAGTAGTGTGGGGGAGGGACAAGGAGGAGAGGTGAATGGAACAGCAGAAAAACTTGATTGGCTGGAAATGGTGGTGCGCTTGATGAATTAATAGAAAATGTGTTGTCTTGAAAGGTGTGTACGGATATATGTGGGGCAGTGTGGTGAAATCAGGCGCTCGTCAAAATAATGAAAGTCGAGAAATTGGCATTTTCCCGCAGGTTTGGGAATTTTTATCAAATTTTTAAAATTTAGTTTAACACCTTTCATGCCCATTAAAGAGCACATTTTTGTGTGGCTTTTTTCTGAAAAACATTTATTAAAAGCAAAAGAAATGTCAATTTTCTGTTTCCACGGACTCTCAAGCTGAAGAAATAACTCGAAAATCTCTGAAACTAGATGACCCTCACCTCCTTTAATCACACATGTCTCGGCTTCTATTCAACCTAGATGGATATTATTTTCACCCGAAACAAGGAAAATGGGCAGGCCTTGAGATGATACCATCAACTCGGTATGCCCAAAAATTGACGAGAGCCTGATTCCACCGCGTCGTGCCACATATGTCATAATAATGAAATTTATTAAGAGTTTTTTTATTGGGTTTTGTTTTGTTTTTTGTTTGTTGTTTTTTTTGGGGGGGTAGAATCCAGGACCCATTCCTTTTGTTTGCCTTAGTAGGTACCGGTTATTAAATAAGGGCTGTTCTTCCAATGATGTATGTGGCAGAGTGTGATCATATTGTGTGAGTGTGTATGTGTGTTTTGCTTCCTTTTTCTTCAGTAGAGCTGTCCTCTGAAAGTACTGGAAAGATGGAATGACTGTACAGGCATGCAGACTTTCTCTACTAGTCAGGCCTGGTAGATTGAGTGGTGCTGGAGAGTTAAAAATGGCTGCTGTTGACTCATCTAATAAAAATAAACATGAATTAGATTTGGCCTCCTAACAATATGATCCCAAGTGCAATTTGTGCAGAATGATTGTGGTGTGATAAACGGGTGCTCGGTCAAGGGAAAATGAATGTGCAGACTAGTACAGTCCAATATCTCTAGCGGGGTTCTTTTTTGTGGTTGTTTTGGGGGTTTTTTGTCTTTAATTCGTGGCTGTCAATAAGTATGAAGAGAACATAATTTGGTACGTTTTTGAGGGTCTGAGTACGAAAATAGGTTTTTGTGTCGGAAAATATTATGTATTCTCTGTTTTTGAGTATTGCTCATGGATTTGCCGATACTGAAGAAAAATTATGAACCATCATAACTGGATTTGCGAATAGTAATGAGAATGAAACCCATATAAGTCAATTGGAGTTGCATCAATACATATATACATAGAGTTGAAGTCTTTACTAAACATTTCTCACATCATTGTTGCAGGTCTACATTGAATAACTTGGATTTATCGTTGCTTGCAGAAAAAAGTTTGGAGGAGGGTTACTAGGCCCACAATCTGGACCCACCATGTGGGTAGAGACAATTTCTTAGTTTTGTCAAGTTGGCAGCTGCGTTAAAGTGATACCAACTTGGATTTTTTAGGAGTCCTGTATATTGTTTTTTTTATCATCATAGTGAAGGCCTAAATTGAAACTGTCACGTATTTCCGATTGATTCCGATGCAAAACTTTGTGTTACTGGTTATTTCCCCAAATCTAATGCTACTGTAGCACAGAGAAACAAATGGCTTTGATTTTGGGAATTCCTATTGCATTGTGCCAAATACTTGTTTGACTAGAAAGGCTGCCACAATTCTGTATTGTTTTATGGGTGGCACATAAGTGTCTACTCTACTAATGAGCTTATCTTCAGCAAGTGAAAAGACAGTTTTGTGTCTAGTTTCTGTCATGGGGTTCAGCTAGTACCAGTGGATTGTCTTTCTACTTTCTATTTTGTTGTTTTTGTGGGGTTTCTTCAATTTTCGTGCCCACGTCAAAATTACTTCTTTTCAGTGGAGAAACTTGCAGTTGCTGAACTTACATTGGGAGTTGTTATGTGTCATAGTGTGTTACTGTGTGGTATGAGTCAAGGGTTCTGGTTCTATTGGAGTCTAGTTTTAATGCATGTGTTGAGAATTCAGTCTTACTTTTTATCTAGTTATTGTAGTATCTCATTTTTTCTGAAGTTATCCGATTCTGTGGCATTGATAATCATCAGTCTTGTTTAACATGTCGAAGTTAAGAGTTCAAGTGATTGCTGGATGCTAATGTTTCTGATGCATCATAGAATATTTGATCTTGTCTGGCTAGTATGGTTTCCTGGCATGGGATCAAGTCCTCCACCATCAAAATGACCTATACTGTATTGCCGGATGCAAGACTTTCTAAATTATTTGACTGCATAATGATGTTTTTAAGAATACTTCAAGAGTTTGCGCAAGTGTATGTAGCATTTATGTTAATGGGTGATAGTAGGATTGTTCTGATTTTATTTTCATCGTCTAAATTGTCGTAGACTCCTTACGGGTTTTTTCTGTCTTTACATCATCGTGGTAGATTCATTGCTATTTGCCATTCTGTCATTATTAATGGAGGGCATGCTTCCGCCAGGTGTTCAAGTCAAATCCCCTGGAGAGCAAAAGCATTTTTGTGTGTTCTACTTATCTGTGTTGAAGCGTCTGACTCTGAATCATTTTGTCTTCTTATGTGAGCACTATTTTTTTCTTATGTAAATCTGTATAGGGACGCACTTTAGGTTCAGTATCCAGCTCTGTGTTTGTGTGTTGTTGTCATCATTTCTTATGCATTTTTAATTGGTATATATGCGTAAGAATTTTACATATTTTTCAACACGTAGAAAAGTCTCATCATGGTTAGAACATGTGTGTACATGTATGTGTGAGCAAATTTTTGAATAGTCTTGTCATGTGTAGATGTGTTTGTATATATAGATCTATATATGAACAAGTTTTTTAAGCGATTTGATTTTTTTGTGCATTTCTTTAAAAATTTAATTGTATGAGCGTCATAACAGTCAAATTTCTTGTGTTCTGATAAGGAATGTGTGAGTCATTAACATTAAAACTTTTTGTCTTCTCATTATGAATTTGTATAAACTCGGAGACTTTATGCATAAATGCCACTTTCCACTAACGCCTTTGTGTGAATTTCCTCCTTTTTTTGAAATTCCTGAGTGGCAGCTATGTTTATGGCCTCTTTAAGTTTGTGATTTTGTAAGGTCTCTCCAATCCACAAAGTGACTGAATGGTGCTCAATTATTTCTGGACATGACTGTACATGTATGAATGTTTTCAGTAAATTGGTCTCTACAGTGAAGGAAGTTTTCGTTTGTTCGTATTTTCTTTCGCTATTGTGAGGATGGTTTGTTTTGTTTTTATGTGGGTGGTGAAGAAATCTGCTGTTGCTGTTCTTGTATCCACTGTCCTGTCTTATTTGGGTTTTGTTTTCTTTGTTGTTTTGGGGGGTTTTCCTTCTTTTTTTCTTGTCTTTTCTCCACATGTGGGTGGTTTGTGGGTGCTCTGATGTGGTTTGCTCCTTGTTTCCTATCAAGCATCTATTACCCTTACTTTTCCTCCTTTTCTTTATCTTTTACTCTCTAGTAACACCTTTAATCATCTGCATTAACATATAACCTATTGTGTGGGTGGTTGGCGGGTGCTCTGATGTTGTTTGCTCCTTCTTTTCTATCAAACTTCTATCATCCTACTCTCTCCTCCTTCTTCCTTCCTTCCTCCCTTCCTCTGGCTGGCCTCCTGCCGCAGGTAGACAAGTAAGAGGCAACCTTCTGCAGCCTCATCCAGAGTACGTCTGGGCCCGGTCTCGCATTGTTCTCAATAAGTGGGCCTCGATCACGATGTGCTTCCCCCCGCGGGCATCCACACAGTGCGTGCTGCAGGTCGTCAGGACTTGTGCCACTCGCCAGACAGGAATCATTGGGAGTGGAGTCTATTGCTGCATGGAAATACGCCTGCAGGACAACACTCTTCTCTGTCTGACGGTAAGGTCTCTCTCTTTGTCCCTCTCCGATTGTGGCTTCACCTTTCCCCCGACGGAGTCCTTCACTCGCGCTTTCTCCCATGCGTGGGCAATGAGGTAACGCGAGATGCACGAGCTTGCAGACGCGAGATCAACTGGAGTGTTGGACTGGTCGAGGCGGCCTCCCTTGTTGGCCAGAGCGTCAGCTCGGTCGTTCCCGTGAATGTCGCAATGTCCCGCCCGGTATCCATTGTATGTGAAGGTGTCAATGGATTTCACAGCAAGTGGCAGATAGTTGTCCACATTTTGTCCTCTATCTCAGTACGTACTGCAGTCACTCCGGACATTAAATGTTGAGCAACTGACTGGGAGTCTGTGAAGATGTGGATTCTTTGAAAACGTGGTTGTTTTACAAGCCATTCCAGTGTGCGGAGCAGGGCGGTAGTTTCAGCTCGGTAGCTGCTTCCGTGTAGTCAGGCGGCACGGATACGCATGTTTCCTCCCCAGAAGATTTGTCTAGACACCAGAATCCTCCTCCACATAACCTGTAGCCGTCCGTGGCGTGGCCGTCAGTGAAGATATCGAGGTCGGATGTAGTTCTCCTGTTTTATGTTTGTTACTCTCTTGTAACTCTTCTAATCTTCGGCACTTATAAATGACCTTATTGTGTTGCAAGTGCCGTAAAACTCTTACTAAAACTAATACTAACCTATCTGTGTTGTAAGTAGCCCGTTTCCCTAAAAGTAAAAGATCTGACTGCGACAATAGGTGCGCAAAACCTTTCCAGTTCTACTGTGTGTCGGCGGGTGCTCTGGTGTGGTTTGCTCGTTCCCTGTCAAATACAGTATCTATCGTCCTGACCTCTCCCCCTTCTTGTGTTTGTTACTCTGTTGTAATAACTCTAATCTTCTGCACTTAAGTAACCTTATTGTGTTGTAAGTGCCGTAAGGCCCCATTTACACGTACTGTTCATTAATCGACAAACTGTAGGATATCGAAAGGATGGCCGGCATCCTGTCAACTTCCCGGTAAAACTGAGCATGGAAACGAGCAATCCACTCTCGATATCGAAGGGTTCTCAATCCAACCATCAGATATCTGACGCGAGATATGTTTTATGTGCCAGCCGGCGAACTGAAGGCATGACGACGAGGGAGTTGATGTTGCCGGAGGCGGAGTTTAAAATGCATTCCAAAAGTTTCTTTATTGGTCAAATCAAAAAAATAATCAGATTTTCGTTATCAGCGACCCAAAATTAGTCAAAATCACGCGGGAAACACAATGTGTAATGCCGGATTGCTAA